CTGCTTAGTCTCTTATTTAAAAGTGCAAGCTACTGCCTAACTACTTACCTGAAATGTTGAAAGAAAAAACACTTTGTAAAACCTTAGCTGAGAAAGACAGAGGTGAAAAAATAAACTCAGAAGTAGCAGCTTTGATGCTTTTTTGGTAACAGCTGTCAAATGTGAGCATCTCTAAATGAATTTGCAAGTGGGGGGTGTGTGTTTTACTGTAATTTAATAACTTCTTGTGGACCTTGAATTTGTGCTGGGCACCGTAGCATGTCTCCTTTTGTCTGGCTATCTATCTCCACCATCATTGCAAACATCTTTTATTCATACTTTGTAACTCCTTAGTAAACTTAGCACACAAAGTTGTACCTTAATTTACATTAAATTAAGGGGAGTGTTTCTAGAAGAAGGAGACATACATAATGAAATAATGTTCATCCATAATTCTTGCTAATCAACATTTTTCTCAGTTGCATTCTCTAGTTAGAAATTTAGTATAGCTTGAGCCTGCAGCGAGGCAGGTACAGTTTTAGTTAAGCACAAATTCCAGACAGATACCATGTCAAAAGTGCGTGGTAAAATGTCTCTGCTAGTTCTGACAGCGGCCTTTAATACTTCCTCACGATGCTACTTTTGCGGGAAACCAGAGGTTGTGTTTGATTGATCCTGTGGTCTCCTGCTGGAGGACATCACAAGGTCTCACCTCTTCTCAGCCCCTGCTGAAGTAAGGGCACTTTCCTTGAAGGGACTTCAGCTAGATTCACTGTAGGCTGCACAGGGATTGCCAAAGCACGGTCCAGTTTTCTTCCATGCTTTCTCACATGCTGGGAAAGTGCAGTGGGCCTTGCTCCACAGTGTGGCCAAATCAGAAATGGCCATCCCGGTCAATTCAGCAGCCGGAGAAATCTGGATCTGAAATGAATCGCTGTCCTTCTGTTTTCAGCCGGTCTGCTCCTGGGCACAGCCTGCCTTTTGGAGGGTTTGGGGAAAGAAGCAGTAATCTGTCCACCTGGCCCTGCCTGGCCATCCCGGTCTGCGTCTGACCTTGGTACCCTCACCAGGTCTGATCCTGACCCCCACATATGGGCAGACACGGTGGCTCATCCCCACTGAGGTGCCCGGTGCCCTGGGCTGGGGCTGCCCCAGCTGCCCACCAGTTGGGGTGGGACAGCCCTGGCTGCCAGCCCTGGCAGGATCCCCTGTGGCCCTGGCTCAGCTGAGCTCTATGGCTCAGCTTTTTTACCACTGCTCAGCTAGCTGTCTGTTCAGAGACAGTTACACCAAGGAGGCAGCTAGATATTCTGCTTCCTGAGCCAGAGTTTCTTGAGCTGCGCAGCACTGCATGAGCAAGGCTGCTTCCATCCTCTTCGCCCTCTGAGCGGTGTCCTGGTATGAGTGTTTGAAACATCGAGATCGTGTATTACCATAATTGCAGCCAGTAGTTTTGACTATTTTTCCACCAGCTGGCAAGGCTAGGAATTATTGTGTCATTTGAAGGGAAGAAAAGACACCATCCGTCTTTTATATTCTTAGCATTCTTGCACTGATGTAAAATACACCAAGATTATTTTGAAGAAGAACACTTTTAAATTCCTTTTCCCAAAGTTCACTTGATAACACTGCCAGAAGTGGCTGTCTGTTAGAGGAAGAGGGAAAAGGGGTAAACAAGATTAAAAGCTACTCATTTTTATTTGCATTAGACATTTCAGAAGGTGCAGCAGCTGGGTAGGATTCAGTGGGAAGAGCATGTGCCGCTTCAAAGGCATCGCAACATGCAGCTTTCTTTCCCTTAATTTTTTTATTCAATGAAAAGTGGTAGGAATTGTGGGCAGGGAGGCCTTGGGACGTGCTGTCTTGTTCCGCTGACGTTGTTGGATGATGTTGTTGATGGCGTTGTTGGAGACCTGTCACCTTTTAGAGTCATTTTTCAGACAAAGTAGGTCACAAGTCTTCTATAGAACAGGGCTTTTTTGAACTGAAGTTCATCTTTGTTAGTAAGTCAAGTTGACTTCCAAAGCATGGTGCTAACAAGGAAACAGAAAGTACATATGGATTTATCTTAATCACCTGAATAAGTTAATCGCTTCCAACCTTAACCTTTCTGTTTTCACAAGTGGTGCACAAAATTTCTCTTAAAACCAAAATAATGTGAGTAATGCCTCTTGGTGCATATTTCAGTTTCCCCTCATATGCAGTTCCCCGTCAAAGAAATCTATTTTAGGAAGCTCCCCTACTAGTATTTTAAGTTGGATAATGTATTTAAAATTGCAGGATGTTTGTGTCCTGAAGGAATCTTGTATTTTAAAAGCCAGAAGCATCAAATGAAAGAGAAATCCCCAAATCTTCAGACAGGAGCATATCAGACTAGTCCTATTGAGATTTTAAATGTTAATTAAAAGATTCATTCTTTTCACTTGTTAAATTTAGAAGATAAAAATATATGCTTGTAGGTTTTTGGTCACAGATCTCAGTTTTCTGTTTGATAAGGTATGAATGCTGAAAGCCCTCTAGCACTCTTGGGTTTATATGTAAGTAATGCAAGTACCATGGTTTACATGCTTCACAGAGCTAAGTTTTTTTAATGAATGTTCTCTATTTTAGAAGAAAAGATCTTTTTTACTCCTCACACTCTATTGACAGTTGGTCTAATGCAGTGAATAAGCAAGCTGTAAATGGCAAATCAGAAAATCAGTTTGGTTTTGTTACATGTTAGGTGCCTTCAAGCCCTGATGCAACTGAAATGGGAATCAAATCAAACCTTGCAGATTTATATGACCTAACTGACACTGAGTGCGTGGTTATCCTAAGCTGCTTTCTTCTTGGGAAGCTCTGCAGAGTTAAACCAGTCCTGGAGGTCCACTGGGCAGTGCCAGAGGCTGTAGGTACTGTAGCGAGCTTTATGCGGATGCATGCATGGGATGCTTCATGGGATGAAGTCTCCTATCTTCAGTTATCAAAAAAAAACAAACAAAAAAAGGAGTAACATGCCTGAAGCCCAAGCAAAAAAAGTAAAATGCCCAAAGCCTGATGCAGTGGCCATGCTGCCTGGGAAGGGCAGGGAGCCGCATTGCCCCCAACTCTCATTTTCTTCCATGGTGCAGGGATCTCTGCCAGTACCAGGAGGTCACACCTCTCTGCTTCTCACTACCGTGGTCTTCAAGTCCTAACATCTAGGATAAGTTTTAATCACCTCTTGACTTTCTGTTGTTAATAGCCTCCCATATTTTACTGGAAAATATAGGAAAAATGTATTATTTGTGAAGTGTTTTAATACCTCTACATTTGTTAAGCACTTCTTCAACCTAGAGCTTAATGAGAAGAGTTGTTTCGTTTCTGTGAGTTCAAAAGGTACTTAGACCCCTTATCCTTAACTTTGGAATGCAGTTTTCTTGAAAAACAGTATGTAGCATGTGGCCACAATAAAAAATGTGGGGCTTTTTCATCCTGAACGCACACAAATTGTTTGAGCCAGAGTACGTTCATCCCCACATAGGTTGCCCTTTTTATCCCCAGTACCAGTGTGCAGTGTTTGTGTTAACCAGCGATACCTCGGGGGTGTAACTGGGGTCCCTCCGTCGGCGTGAGGTGTGAAGCTGGGACGGCCAGGGGAGGGAAGCAGGGCTCCGTACACCATGCCTCCGTACCTCTGCGCGGCGGATCCGCGCGCCTTAGGGGTGCGTGCCCTGCTTGGGGAGGGGGAGCACCTGCCCTGCGCTGCTGGGGGTTGCATGACAGAATACAGGCAAAAGCATTGTAAACCACTGGAAGCTGGTATTTGTTGTCCCCACTCAAAATGGTGGATGGTTTCCCGGTACGTATCATGGCAGTGGGAAATTTTAATTGAAGTTTTGTAATTGGAACAAGGTTTTTAAATTAGGATTTTTATTAAATGGGCTGTGCTACAGAGCTATCTGTGATAGAAATCATAAATTCCCCCCAGAACTCTCCTTTGCTTTCTCCTGCTGACTTTAAGAGAGCAAAGCTGAGATTTGCCCTCTTACAAGGGAGCTTTCAGCTACTGTCTGTGATTTCTGTCCTTCATCTTGAAGTTGGTGCCTCGAAGAAGGTGAAAGCATATTGCACTTGAGCACAGTGCGTCCTAGGGTATATTTCCCTTGAGGACTGTTACAAGCTGTCAGAGTTTAGCACAGACCCAAGGCTCCAACACAAGCAATCGAGGAGCTTTAAGTTGTTTCCTGAAAAATTTCCACAGCTTCAGTCTCTGTGTAGCTAATCGTATACTGTGTACAAACTGTGATTCATCCTCTAAATGAGCCAAACCCTTCAGACCTCTAAATGTTCTTTGCAGTGTGTTAAAAATCTCCATCTTTATCATGTGAAATTATGTTTGTGGTGGGGTTTTTTATCAGTCAGAACCCTCTCTAAGAGATAAACAAAAGAGATCCTCAAAAATCCCTCAACTTCCTCAGAAATCCCTGTACTTAAGACTTCGGAGATAAGGGGACACAGAGTGATTGCAGCTGGGACAGCATCCCAAAGGGAGCAATCGCAGCATCCTGACCTTCTCCCTACCGTCCCGTACTGTCCAGTTTCAGAGGCAGACCCCTGGGCTGGAGGAACAGTTTCTCTGATCCAGTGCAGCCATAAATATGTAACATTTGCATGTAATTTCATAAATATCTACAATTATCTGTATAGCACAACAGTGAATGTAAATATTGGTACCTATGACTCTTGATATGACACGATATTCACAAGGCAATTGAAAATCCTGTGATACTTTTAATGTTTGCAAAGCTTAATTTTAGCACCTGTGAACCACCTGTGTTTTGGGAAATAATACTGGCATATTGATTTCCTTTCAATTGCAGTAATCGTTTCTTGATGATTTTAATTCTCTTAAATACAGCGATGACAATGCACTTAAAATCTGCAAAAAGGGCAGATACACGGAGGGTTGCCTTGAGCTTTAAAATGGAAATGCAATATAGAGCTTTCTCTGCCTTGTAGAAATAAAAATATGTATAAGAAATTTTCTGTATGTTTTTTAGGTCCTGAGGAATCACATGCCAAGTGCACCTCGAATTACATTAGCTGCATCGGTACAAATAAATGCATCCACTTGTCCCAGCTCTGCAATGGTGTTTACGACTGTTCTGATGGGTATGACGAAGGAGTGCATTGCCGGGGTAAGTAAATTTGCAAAGGAAAGAATACTTAAACCTAAAGTCTTCTGCTACATTTTCTTTTTGAGTTCGGAGAGAACCAGTGCGTTCTTCTTATTAGGAATACATATCCATATAAAACAAACGTGGATTGATAAAGGCATATTTTAATGTATGTTTTAAGTTTGTTGTAGAAGTATTTTGTTGTGTGAAGCAAATGCAAGTAAAAAGCATGTACAGGTTTTCAGACTTTTTCTTGAATGATTACTAACCTTGTGTGATGGGAATGGTTATACCAAAAGAAGGATGAGGAACGCCTTCCTTAGGGACCAAAGGTTGGGCAGCACACTGTTTGCCCTGTTTTTTTTTTTTTTTTCCTTACAAGTTTTCTTTAAAAAAAACCCAAAAAAACCAAAAAAAAAAACCCAAAAAACAAAGAAAAACCCTGAAAGATACATTTGATTTGCTATGAGCATTTATTTTGCATTGAGGACATTCTTTTGGAGGGATTTTATTCTAATAATCTACTATTTAAGAGCGTAGTTACCAAATTCTGGCAATGAGAAATCTTAAGGAAAAATTGGTAGAGATGAATTTTTTTAATATCTCAGCTCTACTACTCAGAAGGCTGATCAAGCTCTGCTTGGGATAGTTGTAAGGCTGCCATATTAAGCCCAAATCTTGGATACCATGAGTCATTAACATGTCAGCTATTCTCAGTCAGTGGACTTTACTGCTAGGCAAATGATTGCTGATGATCCTTAGCAGATCTCATATTTGAAACCAGAAGCTCAGGAATAGGTCCTGGGACTTCAGCTACAATCCAATGTGACAATATAAAGTAAAAGATACATTTAATGGTATAGTTTAGAAAGTTAAATTAGAATTTAAAAGTTCATGTGGACAGATTTCCAGAACTGTCATGCTAAAATCTAAGCCTGCACCAAAAATAAGCCATATAAAAAAAAAAAAAAAAAAAAAAAGCCAGCTGGCATTAATCAATGCAATACTGCTGACTTCACGGAACTACAAATAGTTATTTTTATATAACCAGGTGAGGATACAGGCTGTCAGAAAATATATGATAATTCTTATTCACAGTGATAGGAATAATTTCTTTTCTTGAAGGCCCTACTTTTATACATTCCTTGTTCAATGAGTATTACCCAAAACCAAAATTTGTGTCAGCATATTGATTTGGGTCCCAGCATCCAAAAACCCTCAAAAGTTAAACTGGCCAAAGCAGTATTTGGCCCATACTGAAGCTTTCTGAAGTTGCAGATGAGTGTTTTTTCAGAGAAAAGCATTGATCCATTAAGCTCTGTTTAAATCTATATTCCTCAGTAATTCATATATTTGTATACATTACTCTGGATTAAACAGCAGAGGATTAAAAGCTTTCAGTACGTTACTCTCCTGGGTTTTTATTTTATTTTAAGTCTTTAAATTAGGAGATAAATGGAATCAGAAAAAATAAACAGACTGAAAATAAAATCCTATGTTAGCGTAAATTAAATGTTTAGTGTTCTTATGTGCTGTTTTGTATATGTAGCCTGTACTTTGGAATGTGATAGCACATAAAATACCTAATTTTTATTCATGCCCCTTTAATTCATGCTCAAATACACCTTGTAAGGTCCATGTTTATTCCCACTCCTTTCTTTATTATCATTCGTGAATATGAAAACTTCCCAATGGTAAAATTAATGTCTGTCCTAATAAATTACCATAGAATTTAGTAAAATATCTTAAACAAACATTTGGTCTAAACCACATAGAACACAGATAATGCAGTTCTTTTATATTACATTTTATTAAGAATATAAAGTTGTCTCCCGGTACCTCATTTAGTAAATGGTTAACAGCTCATTAATACTGATTTTTGTAGCAATTATGCATTTTGACTTACTTACTAGGGGCAGTTCTTGAAATCATTAGTGGACATATTTCTATCAACAAAACCAAAGGATATAGAAAATAACTTTACATTATGTTCATGTAGTTTGATGCTAACAACGGCCACTAATGTCTCATTATGATACATTCCTATGTATTAGATATTTGATACGAATGCAGAATAGTTGTAATTACTCTCTCTGTCTATCTATATGTCAGAACAATGCATGGGCAATCATTGAGTCATTCTGTTGTTGTACTTTCTAAGTCCTGAGTATATGAGCCATACGTTTGGGTCATCAGTGTGGCCAAAAGCTGCAAAGTTGCTTCAGAAACCTATCCAAATAGTTAGCTTTTTCTTGTTATTTGTAACAAAAATGGCATTCTAAGTACGTTCCTCTACAATTAACATTGTTCATATGAAATTTTTGATTGATCAAGAAGATAGTAGCAGTTTTAAACATTGAAAACTATTCAGTTGGTCACAGAGCCGACTATGTTTAAATAACTTATTGCTAGCAACACTGATAGTGCTGTGTAAATAAGTCATGGTCTGTGCACCAGGAAAATAAGTTGTTATATGAAGTATGGGGGGGATGAGCATGGCAAAGACCATTTCAGCGTACAGGTCACAACTCCACAGGGGAGAAAGCTTCTAATAATGCTTAAGAACTAAAGGAATATAGGCATTCAGTAACTGAACTATTCTAATTTCTTCCTCTAAATTTAACATTCTTATGTTAATTCATGATATTATGATCTTTGAGAGATATATTCAGGCCTGCACCTTTCCCTGGCAAGTAAAAATATGATCATATCTGCAGTGTGAGATGGTAATGTATGTGAAATTTCAAGGAAATAGTAGTAAATACAATGACATTCCTGTCTCATCATCTTTTATTTCAGGCACATATGCATTTTTGCTGGTGAATGTAATGCATAAATTCAGGAGGGGTTGTGGCAATATGAAATAAAAAATGTTTTATTATGCATGGTTGTTTCACATTACGTGTTTCAATGTCCTTCAGAGGAGAAGGGGTGCGTACTTCACTGAAACTGAAACTCACAGCATGTAATAGCGATAAGACATCTGTATTTGGTCATTTTGGATTCTTCACTATTTTTTGACTAAAGAATGCTTTAGAGAGGCTGAATAAGCGAAGGAGCAAAGTATATACTACCCCCTCCTGTAAAGAGTAGGCTGGCACTG